CCTCGAGTGAGAGACAAGACCGAGTCCAAACACGAGTCCGAGACGAGACACAACGATCTACCCACACGACCTTGGCCATCGACTGGTAGATCACGATCGACGTATTGAGCACCACTGATCTAACAGATCCACGGGCTCTGCTCACTGAGCACATGCACTAGTGTCACGAGAGCGTGCACGAGGAGCACAGCTCACACTTTGACCAATCACAGCGAGAGGAGCCGAGAGGAGGCGGAGTCTGTTTTTAAGACGACTGAAGGATTTTGGGCTGAGAAAAAGTTCATGATTTAAAAAAAGGTAAAAAAGGTAAAAATCACCACAAAAAAAAAGTTTCAGTGAGTGTGACCGGGTCGACTCCACACACAAACTGAATGTTAAGAACGGACCAATCAGGATGCAGAAGCTCGGCCGCTGTGACTGCTGCCCTCCATGAGGTTCATTTGGAGATGTCACACTCTGACCTCTGACCTCTCTGCTCCCTCAGGTTCACATGGAGGAGCCGTGTTTTGACTTCCTGCGCACAAAAGAAACTCTGGGGTCAGAACCAGGACTAAACCAGGACTAAACCAGAACTAAACCAGAACTGAACCAGGACTAGACCAGGACTAAACCAGAACTAAACCAGGACTAAACCAGGACTAGACCAGGTCTAAAGCAGGTCTAATCCCGGTCTGGTTCAGGTACCAGGTTTACCCGTTGTACAGAAACACGTCTGGAGTTCTGGGTTTTTCCGTCACTGTCCAAACTCAGGCCACGAAGTTCAGGTCAGTCCACAAACGCCCAGATGCCCTCCCACGTGTGTGTGTGTGTCTGTGTGTGTGTATAGTGTGTGTATAGTGTGTATTATATCAGATGCCCTCATGTGTGTATGGGGTGTGTGTGTGTCTGTGTGTGTGTATAGTGTGTGTATAGTGTGTATTATATCAGATGCCCTCATGTGTGTATGGGGTGTGTGTGTGTCTGTGTGTGTGTATAGTGTGTATGTGTATGTGTGTATAGTGTGTATGTGTCTGTGTGTCTGTGTGTGTGTATAGTGTGTATGTGTCTGTGTGTCTGTGTGTATTATATCAGATGCCCTCGTGTGTGTATGGGGTGTGTGTGTGTGTGTGTGTGTCTGTGTGTGTGTATAGTGTGTATGTGTGTATTATATCAGATGCCCTCCCTGCGTGGCAGTTCGGAGTGGGTGGAGGAGCGGGTGCAGTGTTTCCTGTCGTCCTTCGGGAGGCGCCTGTCGTCTCTGAGCGCAGACGCCTTCAGGACGCAGCTGCAGGCGCTGGTGCAGCAGAAGAAGAAACACGACTCCAGTTTAAGAGAAGAAGTCGAACGAAACTGGAACGAAGTGACGACTCAGCAGTACTTCTACCACCGAGTACTACGACAGGTACTACTACTACTACTACTACTACTACACTTCTACCACCGAGTACTACGACAGGTACTAAACTACTACTACTACTACTACTACACTTCTACACTTCTGAGTACTACGACAGGTCTACTACTACTACTACTACTACGACACTTCTACGACAGTACTACTACTACTACTACTTTACTTACTACTACTACTTATACTAACTACTACTTTCTACCACCGAGTACTACGACAGGTACTACTACTACTACTACTACTACACTTCTACTACTACGACAGGTACTACTACTACTACTACTACTACACTTCTACCACCGAGTACTACGACAGGTACTACTACTACTACTACTACTACTACACTTCTACCACCGAGTACTACGACAGGTACTACTACTACTACTACTACTACTACACTTCTACCACCGAGTACTACGACAGGTACTACTACTACTACTACTACTACACTTCTACCACCGAGTACTACGACAGGTACTACTACTACTACTACTACTACTACACTTCTACCACCGAGTACTACGACAGGTACTACTACTACTACTACTACTACACTTCTACACTTCTACCTACTACGAGTACTACGACAGGTACTACTACTACTACTACTACTACTACACTTCTACCACCGAGTACTACGACAGGTACTACTACTACTACTACTACTACACTTCTACCACCGAGTACTACGACAGGTACTACTACTACTACTACTACTACACTTCTACCACCGAGTACTACGACAGGTACTACTACTACTACTACTACTACTACACTTCTACCACCGAGTACTACGACAGGTACTACTACTACTACTACTACTACTACACTTCTACCACCGAGTACTACGACAGGTACTACTACTACTACTACTACTACTACACTTCTACCACCGAGTACTACGACAGGTACTACTACTACTACTACTACTACACTTCTACCACCGAGTACTACGACAGGTACTACTACTACTACTACTACTACTACTATCTACTACACCGAGTACTACGACAGGTACTACTACTACTACTACTACTACACTTCTACCACCGAGTACTACGACAGGTACTACTTACTACTACTACTACTACTACTTCTACCACCGAGTAC